TATATATATAGCATAAACATTCAGCTTTCCTATCAAATGTAGAAACTGTAAGTTTTGCTGCGTTACCTTTCAGGTTGTGGGAAAACGTACACCATGTTGGGAACCGACAAGGAGCCGGGCATCTACGTCCGCACACTGAACGATTTGTTTCGTGCCATCGAGGAGACCAGTGACAACATGCTTTACAGCGTATCTATGTCCTATCTGGAGGTACGTTTAGTTTGTTTTTTGTAAAACGTGGATGATGTTAGGAAATAGAATTACATTTTGAATGATTCCTCATAGCGTGTTTTTGCTGTAGTTACAAAAAAACAAAGCAGGAAGTATAATAATAGTGTCGTAGTTCCTAAGGTTGTTTGTTTTGATGTGTCTTAATGCTATTGTTTAATTGGCTTATTAGAAATGTTTGTTTACTTGAGACATTATCTGCTGTTAGTCTGTCAGCTTTATCTTATTGGTCAGAACCTAAAACATTTGTGAACCACTCACCAAGTCAATGAAACAGCTGTAACACAACTTCTCTTACCCCTAATTTACACTAGATACGACCGCCACAGCAAAAATGCAGCCATTATAATCAATGAGGGTGTTTACACAGGCTACGGTGCAGGGCAGAGATTTGATCCTATTTTTGCCAGACACCGAAGCTGCGCCGGAGTCAATCTACAATGATCACGTTGCACCAACAGGAAAAGGAACAAGCACAATATCCATATTTTCAAAATAATTCACAAAAGTCAGACTAATTTTGTTGAAATCCCACCTATGTTGTTAAATATATGGATATATTTCTATACAAAAGCTGTCAAAATGTATCGTTCTGTTTGAGAAGTGGATGGCAACATGTAGCATGCAGAATATGTACGCATGATATGCGTGGGTTTTATTTTGAAATCAGAAGTTTCAAAAACACAACATCGATGCAGTTTCAGCTGTGTTTGGAAGATGCTTCTTGGACCTCCTCTATGCTTCGCACCGGAGCTGACGGGAGCTGAGCGGACGCTGTATAAATTGGGGCACAAACGAACGGCTGCGAACTGCGCAGCGCAGCAGAACCACATCTAGTGTAAATTACAGGCAACCAACCTTRAGAAACACCAAAAGGGCTCCCATCATTTTAGTGATTTCAAACTTGATCTAGTAGTACCTGAGAGTTGTTCACAACTATGAGCATAAGGTATTTTCAAGACTTGATCAAAACTGCTACAACTTCATTTTTCAACATAAGAAGATCTCGTTCTAAAACACTGGCATGAAAGGCAGTGGACAATATGCATTCTTTATTTTACATCAGCTTGTATTTTAGCAAACTTTACTTATATAAAGTATCAGGCATTATAAAATACCACACAACAGATTGTATTATTCAACCGCAGGCTGAAGATGTTGGTTTCTGTGTGCCTGCTGGCCGTGGTTCCTCACCTCATTAAAAACAAGCAGGGGGTTTAGTTGCCCTAACAGCACCAGGAAAAACAGAGGTGCTTGATTTGACTCAGTCTCTCTATATTTCCATTTATTTGAATTTTTGTAACTTTGTAAGTTTAAAATGCAGTTCAGTTCAAAGTATGGAGGTTCTACACAAGGCTTAAAAATATCGTTTGAAACCCTGAATATAAACTGCATTTTTTGAATAATCTTGGCCACCAGAGCCATTTTTTTTAAACAGCAGGGTTTCTTTTATTGTGTTCTGGCTGACAAGAAGGGGGGAAAAAAATGCGAAGAACAGAAAAAAAATAGTTGTTCAAAAGTAACAAACTGAATCCCAACTCCTTACAGTACACACAAAGAGCAAACACAAAAAAGAATAGTCAGCCTTCAGCTGAAAAGGAAGGCGGCACAAATAAGCAGGCTTTGGGCCGGGCACCAACTCAGCCTATTGGAAGGGGCTCAGCATCTGACATCAAAATTATGTCTTTTGTTTTCCCTGCCAGACGCTGTCATTATTCACACTGAGTGACAAAGTTATTGCAGTGGAGCGCTTCGGTTTTCCTCTGAGTGGGCCGAAGCGAAATTCTTCTCTATCAAAAATGTCAGGCATGAAAGCTGGATGCTGTCTGACCTGTATTAATGTTATCACAACGCGGCCTTAGTCAAGCGCTTGTGTGTGTGTGACGTGTGTGTTTGCGGTTTCCAAGGAGCAATCTGTTACCACTGACGCCTCGCCACAAAGAGGTTAAATGCTATTTTATAGCTGCACTCGACAAAGTGCACACATCTGTTGCTTTTCTTGTTCCGATCTCACTTTCTTTCACGTGTTTACAACATGTGCACAAGAGCACAGAATACAACCGGTGTGAATATTTATTCTTTTCAGGTGTTTTATTTAGTTTTATTTTGA